ACCGCGGTCCCTGCGCTTTGTTTAGCTTAGCTTGTTCTAAGTAGGTGCTTTAGACCACTGAGCCATCTCACCAGCCCTCACCCTATTTCTTTGAATAGAACTCCAAGGGTTGAGTACAAACTTAGCATTTTTATTTTCAAAACTCTTACAGTCCTCAATTCTAGGATGTTGTGAGTTACTTTATGTTGGTAATGCTGTGTTGCTTGATCGTGAAGGGAACTGGTGGGTTTTCCCGTTTTGCTGAGGTGTGCATCTGCCCTGTGTAAGGTGTGCATTTGCTGGACCATGATGAGTTCTGCCTCCATGTACCTACTTTGTTTATTGTGCAGATGTACAAGCATTCCAACAATAAGGCCATGACCACAGGGGCGATTGCTGCGATGCTGTCCACCATCCTGTACTCCAGGCGCTTCTTTCCATACTATGTTTACAACATCATCGGGGGACTGGATGAAGAAGGTAGAGCTGCGCGCTCTTGCAGGAGGAGGGGGTGGGGCATTTTGAGATGTGTACATCTCCATTTGGAGTCGGAAGGAACTATGAGCACTACCTGGCCCGACAGCCTCATTCTGATCATGGAAGTGAGATGAGACTGCAGCTGGTGCGAGTGACGGGTGCCAGAAGCTCCCAGCGTGTGCTCTTCACTGCATATGTTGGAGAGCCAGTTATTTTACAGTTGTCTCAGGCCTTTGACCATTCAGTACTAGTAATTAGCACTTTTACCCTTCAGAAAGAAGTCTGACATAGAAAAGATTGGCTTAAGTGTGGCTCTAAGTGACTTGTAACATACACATTTGGCTCAGAAACTTCCTGTAACATGATGTCTTAAGCCTAATTGTGCTTGCTTTGGCAGCACATATGCTAAGTCCTTGCACTTACCCTGCTGTTCCTGGAATCCATTTGAAGTAGCTCTATGAGCATAAGATAGGGGTGTCTGCAGATGAGATTTGTGTCCCTGGACTTTCCATGGTAGTTTTGGTCCAAGACTGCATTACCCCATGTGGGCACTCATGTTTTCCACAATATCTTATGTAGTCTTCCAGGCTAGATCTGTGCCACTGTTTAGAAAAGTCTGCTGATTACGAAGTTACAGAAACATTTGGATAAGGACACAGTGGGCGGAATCTGTCTTCAGTTTTTATTCAGGCAGATCTGTAGTTGGAGTCGCCCAGAAGTGACACAGAATTCCTTCGGGGGATTGCCTAAGCCTAGTAAGGATTCCCAGGACAAAAGCTCGACACCAGGACGATGAATCTAATAGTGCGTTTGTTTGGGAAATGTTCCTGGATTGGTATACAGCAGTCCTTTTGCTATCAGGAAAGCAGAACAGATTCCACCTGGCTGGGGCTGGCACAGGTGCAGGGTACCCCGGTTAAGAGCTCAGATGAGGGTTTAGTCCTGGGACTGGTTTGTAGTGACTTAGTGACAGTCTGTCAAGCAGCAGCCTGAGCTTGTGTTCAGCCATGCAGCAAGTCTGGGCCAACAGTCAGCATACTCACTGCAGGCTGGAGGAAAGCAGAGGTGCCCTGGAGCCCTGTGTCTTGTGAAGGGAAGTTCTGAGGAAAGGGCGAGCTCTTCTCAGCTCCCTGCTTGTTCTCAGGTTGGTATTGCCCCTCTCTGGAACAGGAGTGGGTTTGTTTCTCTCCTTTTCTGACTCCTGTGGTGTTTCAGGGACTGTTCTAATTAGTTCGGTGTTCAGGCATTAGGCAGAGACAAGTTGCCACGTCTGTCTTTAATGCTTTTCAGCTTGCTTGAAAAATGAAAGGAAATGCAGAGGGCAGCAGTGCCTTGTGTGGGTGACTTGGTCCTCACCACAGATAGGCTTGCCTGGCGTAGCATGCTGGGCACTTTGGGGCCTCTGGGGCTTCAGTTTTGTCTGGCTTGCGCTGAAATTAATCTTTGAGGTTTTAGCAGCATTGGTCTTCCATGGCTGGATGATGTCTTCCAAGTTTTTCAGAGAGAGAGGGTCTGGGAAAGCTCAGGCCCACTGGTAACAGATCCAAGCCATGGGGTCTGGTGTGTTTGACTTCAGAACCTCTGACTTCTGGCGTCTTTTCATCGTGTTTTACATTCGTTTTTATTTATGTGTGAAAGCATGCCCACAGATCATTTTTAGCTGTTTTTCCTATTTTACTTAGCTTTGTTTCCCAAACACTGAATTCACACTGTTGAAGTGTTATCCAGTGTGTGATTTGGACAAATAGTGGCCTTGGAGGTATTTTGGTTTCTGTTCTGGCGAGATGGTTCTTGGTACTTCTGTGTCATCTTTCTCATTAGCACATGACTATAACACATTACACATGTGAGAAAATACATATCTGTGTTCCAAAGCCCTCATCTTTGTCATGCCAGGTTGAATGCTGTGAGGATAGTTCCTCCCTTGGACTTGCTGTGGCTTTTTCACCGTTTGTTGCCCCACTCCTTGGCGCTGACGACCCGCCTCTCACTCAGGGTCTGGTGAATGTGTCCTTGCAGGGTATCCTGGCCTGCTTCTGGCTTTGAGTGCCTGTTTCCTGGGTGCCATGCTTCTTACTGATTTCCTCCTTTACTGTAGTGGTGGATATCGCCTGAGTATTTCTAGGAAAATAAGAACAGGAGACCTTTTTTGAGACTGCATCCAACCCTTCTGTGGTGTCTGCTGGCTTACAGGGCACTCCTGGTCTGGGGAATAGTCTCCTTCTACTGTCTTTCCTGTGCTCCCCTTTCTCTTCCTTGTAGTGCCCCCCCCC